CGAAGATTTGGAGAAAAAGCCAAAATGGAGACAGAGGACAAACTGTCAACAGAGAAAATGAAGAGGTAAAGGCTGAGGACGAGTGCCCGTGAGGAACTTTTCATGTAGAGGGTGAAAAGGAGACAGCGTCCAAATGCAAACTGTGTTTGATCTCTACGGTGATAGCAGCTCACAAGACTTCAGCAACTAATCTCAAAAAACATATTGTGTATAAGAGGTTTTACAACTATCTGTATGATATTGTTTTTTCATTGTTTGTATGTGTGGGTTATTAGTTTGGCTAAGTATGAAAAGATCTTAAATGTTGTCACTGCCATCGCTTTGCCTGGTACTAAAATAAGACGGAGCGTCTGAGAAATGTACTTTGAATGTAACTATTATATACAGTAAATAGATCTGAATGCCTTCTATTGACAAAACAATAAAACATTAATTGGTTAAAAAGTAATTAATACTCCGAGTAGTTTTTGAGAAGAGTACTTTGTACTTTTACTTAAGTATGTTTTATAACACCAGTACTTTTACCTGTAATTGAGTACAATTTAAGCAGTGCAACAGTACTTGTACTCGAGTACCAATTTTACGTACTCCACCTCTGACTACATTATGTCTGATAGTGTACCCAGGCAAACCAACATACATTTTTAATTTGTTCAAACAAACATTTGTTTGAAACAGAGCAGACCAATATCACATGCCTTCATTAATCCTATATTTCATTCTGCAGAAACTGTGGAGGAAATGAAGTCCAAAAGGAACAATTTTATTTTTCTTTAACCTGTATTTAAACAGGCAAATACCAAAGAGATAGGGCAATTAATGCATGCCAAATTTGTACTCGCAAGTGGCGATGTAATGCTTCCTTATACTGCACATGCCTACTTTTTCATGCACGCACTCATTTAAACAGCAAAACACAAGGAATCAATGTAAAAACTGTTGTGTAACCGCCGTCTGTCTTGCACCTCCGTTCCTGCTCACATCCCCCCCAACTTCCATCCCCAACAGCCTCTCGTTTATTTTTAGAGATTTCGGAGATGAGAGAAAGAGAAAGCAACTACTCTGCACACTGTCAGAGAATGAGGGGGTGGATGACAGAGGGAGAGGTAAGGAGGCAGCGGGGTTGGGGGGGTAAAACTGAGAGAGGTAAAAAAGAGTCAAAGATGAGACACTTGGGGTAAGGCAGGAAGGATGGAAGGAAGAAAGACAACGAGGACCAGAAGGATGAGAGCACGGATTGCGAAAGAAAGGTGTATAAAAAGGTTTAATGGGGGAAATAAAGGAAGTGAGGCACAACTAAAATTAGAAAGGAAGGGAACAGTTAAAAAGAAAAGAATGGCATATTCTGAGGGAGGGAAATGAAGGGGAAATGAGCTGTCTTATGTAACAGCTTGTGAGTCTTTGTCTGCATGTGTTCCTGTTGGTGCATTAGCACAAGTCTAAAAAAATGGTTTTGTTTGGGCTCATGCAGGCTGGACAAAAAACAAAAACAAAAATCTTGAATGCGAGTTCCTGGCAGGCATCTCCCACTCGCGTTCGCAGACACCTGCTTTGTCTGCTTGTGAGGAGTCCGGCCGGCGTTAAAAAGCCAGCTCCATTTCATCTGCTGTTAGGCTAAATGTTTATACCTCTGTCAGGAAACCGTGTGGCACGGATGCTCCACTCCCACGCTCATCTGTGTGAATTTCATCTGCCATTATAATATTTCTTTCATGTTGATTTGTTGGAGTGAAGAGTGGGTGGGCTGGGTGGGGGAGAAGCGATCACGCCAACACACACTGTTGACACTGTATGCCAATCTAATTGACTGCAATATTCCAAAACAATCAGTATCTCTGCTGGTTCACAGCTTTCAGAGTAAGTGCACAAATAAATAACAGTGTTGTCTCAAATACAAAGGCAGACTCCAGCGAAAGCAAACATAAGGGGTCAAAACTGAATATGGCGTGTGCATATGACAACACTATTTGCATCAGCAAAACACCATTGCACATACAGTCACCATAAAACAGTAGAATACTTGTATTCAAAGCCTGCAACGCACAATGTATCAACAATACATTGCTATTGCAAAATCAGCATGAGCAATATTCAATTCAGTTCAGTTTATTTATATAGCGCCAAGTCACAGCAGAAGTCATCTCAGGGCACTATATAGAAACATTCATATACCGGTACATAAAAAGTAAATTAATATTTATCTGAGGAGCAGACTGCTTTGAATTTAACTTCATCGCAGCCCCTCATCTTGAGCGAGCATGAAGGCGACAGTGGAAAAGAAAAACTCCTTCATGAGGAAGAAACCTCCAGCAGAACCAGGCTCAGGACAAGCAGCCATCTGCTTCACCTGGCTGGGTTTGGTAGGAACAGATACACAATGGCAGGTCGAGAATCACATGTTAAGATTGAAATAGTATCACATGAAAACTATTCAATTGTAACAATTAATTTTAAGAAATGTGGTCAGTTTGTCTTCCTGTAATCTAAACCTATGGCAGCATAGCCTGATAACTGAAAGATCTTCCTCCTATTCTGCTTTTTGAAACTCTAGGAACCGTAAGTAAGCCTGAAGTCTGAGAGTGAAGTGCTCTGTTAGGAAAATATGGAAAAATAATCTGTAATCTGTAATATAAGACAGAGCTAGGTTGTTGAGACTTTGTAGGTTAGAAGTAAGATTTTGAATTAAATTCTGAATTTGACAGGGAGCCAATGGAGAGAAGCTAAAACTGGAGAGATATGATCTCTTCTACTAACTCCCATTAAGACTCATTATATATCAATGTTTTAAAGGACCAAGTTAATGACCTTTCTCCTGTCTTGATGACCACACTCAGTTTAGAAGATATTGATGAAGATGCTAAAACACCTTTAGTGTTTTACTTTCAGCTGCCCCCAGGGGTTACCACCAAGAGTGAACTTGTATGAAAAATCTGACAAGTGTTTTACACCCGTTGCCCTCCCTGAAGCAACATGAACTCAAACCCACAACTTCAGGACCACAAGACTGTGGCACTGACAGACATCTACCACAGCTTGAAGAGCGTTGTGTGTAATGATAACAAAACAGATGGAGAAAGAGAAATAAATGTGGATTTATGACAAAGTATTAATCTTATAACACAATATTTCCCCCACTTGGTGACATTGTCACCAACAATCACACCATTGGTACATTCATAATCTTAAGCTTTTTTTGCAGCTCTGGTATAGTTAAGGCCTTTTGAGGCCTTGTTTACAATTCATTCAGTTTGAGACAAAATGCAGAAGTAGTGTAAGGATAATGTTTTATAACCGTCTGTGGTGGCAAAACCGAGAAGGGGTTCTCTGCAGGCCAAAAGTGGGCGTTTCTGGAGAATAGGCGTTTGTAGGGGGCTAACACTGATTGGCTAACTGTATTTGCTGCTCTTTAGGTAAGTTACATCGGCTCTTTTTTAAAACTGAAGGTTTCTAAGAAACAGCGTTATATCTACTGTCAAACACAAGAAGATTCTCTTGTGTTCTTGGTTGTAGGCTGCACCTGACACAAGTTGCCTTGAGTGTGGTCTGGGTACAATGAAATATGAAGCATCTGAAGCGAAACCTGCTCCTATTTGTCAAACAGTCTGGTCTCTATTAAAGATCATGAGTCCTATGATGAGATAATGACCCAAAACAAACGCTAAAAAGAAAATTTGTTCTTTAGAAGTGTTCTTCTATGAGATCTGATCTATGAAAGTAGCTGAAACATGGAGTAGGGTTGACCCTTAAAATGTGAGACAGCTGAGGAAGTTAACCAGTAAACAGAAATACCTGCTCCAGTTGCAGAAATCTTTTAGCAACTGATAATCACTCATCTGCAGTGACTGCAGGTTGAACAAGACAATGTGAAGTTAAAGGCAACATCCTTTGTCCCAAGGCCAGTTTAAGTATCACTAATATTTTGGCTACTTTATTTTTCTTTATTTATGAATTGATTGCAGCTATTTTCACATTTTTCAACAACCAAAATGGATTTTGTTTTTTAATGTAATGGCTAGGTATTCAAAAACAAACATTTAGCCCTCTCCACTACCCAGTTATGTTGCTCTTATTTTGAAATGTAACCAGAAGTTCTGTGTTAAGAGAGGTGGAAAGAGAAGTTATGGAGACGCCACTAATGTTGAACATGAGATGCCGCTAATGTTGAACCGGTTAACACCATAGACATAATATGCCTGTGGTTAACACAATCTGCCAATAACGCCTTGTTTTTAGACATAATATGTCTGTGGTTAACACAAACGGCTTTTTTTTCCATTCAGCATTTATTTTTTTGTCCAATCAGATGTGACCCTCCAGATACGCACATTTTTCTATCGTCCAATCAGATGTAGCCCGACAGACACGCCCACTTTTCTATCGTCCAATCAGATAAGGCCCCCCAGATACGCCTTCCGAATTTGTCTGCAAAGATACCTACTTGGCAAAACCTTGAAATGATGGTCTTATCATTAACTTTTCAGTCTGTTATGTTACTGTGAAAACATTTAGCCTAGACTTTAATTTGTTACGGAAGTCATTTTGTTGCAGATTTGCTCTTGTATTTGGCATCATTGTCCCAATCCTTGAGCCACATTATTTTAGGCCAAGCTTAAGCTATAAAACAGACAACTTATAATAATAATAATAATAATGTGTATGTATTGTCATCATTATACATTGTACACCATACAATGGTAAAATTGGTTCTCTGCTTTTAACACATCCACCACCAGGCGGAGCGGTGGGCGACCTTTGGAGGCGCCCGGGGTGCAGCTGGGGATGGGGTGTCCTGCTCAGAGACACTAGACATCTAATCCCTAACTCTTCCCCGGGTGCTTACATAGCTGCCCACTGCTCCACCTGGGTGTATCCCAGGTGCAATGTGTTAAATGCAAAGAACCAATTTTGTCATTGTATGGGAACATACAATGATGACAACATAAAGCACATATACTGTACTTATAGTTTGAATATACTTGCATCTACAGTAAGTATCTTACCTGGTTATGGTGTTCGATTCCCATGCTGATGGTGTTAATGAGAATAGCGATCATGATGCCTCTGCTGAAGTACTTGCTCTCCACAATCCCCCACAGTCTCCTCCTCATATCTGTCCAAAGAGCCTTACACATTCCAAAGCATGTCCTCCTCCTCTTCTTCCTTTTCCCATCTTCCTTCTCCTCTAAGTGGTCCTCCGCTTTGTCTGTTTCTTTCACAGCATACCCTTCACTTTCTTCACCATTAGCCAAATCTCCCACAGTCCTTGCACCTTCTTTCAAAGATAACGCACAGATAGGGCAGTCCTGGGGGTTGTCCGGGACAGACAGGCTGATGGAGTTGGCTTGTGTCTGTGAGCTGTGGTCCTGTTTGTTATGGTGGGGACATTTGGTTGCTGCAGGGGCAACAGCAACAGAAGCATACATATTGTTTAGTTTTCAAATCAAGTGCTTGTTTTCTTTAAACTATGTGGGGAAAATATAAGGACACCGTGTTACATCCTGAAATCCTTGAAGTACAAAGTAGTAGGGGTCAAATCAACTTTAGCTTAATTTTACACCTGGCATTGTTTGAACATCACCATCCAAAAATGACTATTTATTCTGCTTAGACATTTCCACAGTTTTGTGAACTAGCACTGCTACGCATTATATGAAGAATTGATTTCTACTCACATCTTGGCTGCCTGAAATGATGCTGCTCTCCGTTCACGTTCCCCGCACCTCGTCTGTTGCCCCTGCCTCCACTAGCTGGTGGGGGCTTGCCCCTCAGAGTGTAGTAGAAAGCTGCTGACCTCCTCTTGGCCTTGCGAAGGACATGGCAGACGAGCTGGAAGATCTCTTCGTAACAATCTCCTGGCTCAGTCATGCTGGCCAAGGTGGAGGAGGACAGGCACTGCGCCCTCTGCTCCTGCATCAGCTGGTGTTCCCGCTGTTTGGTCTCAGAGAACTGGGTGGCAATAACCACCAGGCACAGGTTGATCATGAAGAATGAACCGATCTGCAAGAAAAAGAAACAAACTGCATCATGTCTGTTTCAATATTTAGCTTGTGGTAAAGCAGATGTTGCTCATTTAGGAAACATGAAATATGCATTTTTTTTTTTTTTTTCAAATGGCAGATACACACTTGTTTGTACAACAAGCTCACACACTTGCTGGTTCAATTAATAGTTGTCAATCCCCAAGGAGAAGTATAACATACATGCAAAATGTTTCTAAATTATGTCCTCCCACCAATCCATAGCTGCTTGGAGCAGAAAGACAGAGGCATGCCCCAAACACGTCAGCAGCACCTGACTTTATTTTTTTATTTGAATACTTTGACTTTAAACATAAACAGTAATTATAAAATAGAATAGAAAATAAAACAAGATAAACAATATCAATATCAATAATAATGTTCAATATGTATTGGAACATTGATAAGGACAGACTATTTACAATACAGTAGTATAGGCAGGGTGTGTTTTTTATCAGAGGTCAGCATTATTGCATTTTTTGGGAGCAGTGATGGTTGTAGAGTCTAACAGCTGCTGGGAGGAAGGATCTGCAGTAACGCTTCTTTGTGCATTTAGGATGCAGTAATCTGTCACTGAAGGAGCTCTCCAACTCTGCAACAGCTTCATGCATGGGGTGGATTATTTATAAAAACTATTAGTGTTTTTGGTTCCCTAATTATTTCAATAAACTGGTAAAAGTCTCGAAGTGGCTGATTTGCTGAAAGAATTGCAGACAACACAAACTAACGTGTGCTATGATCGTGTGATTGAGAATAAACCAGACTATGAATTACAAATTAATACATTCCCTTATTTAGAAGCCATTTTTGATAAAATATTGCTGGTAAAATATTTTTATAAATTAACTTTGATTAGATTTGTGTATCCGACAGATTGTGAACAAATTTCTCTTCATACTAAAATGGAATCTAATAAAATTTTAACCTTTACAACATATACAAAAGAATAATTCAGATCTTCTGAAATGTGGTGAAGAGATTGTGAACAATTAATATCCTATCTGCTGTAGATAGCTTTTTAAACCACCTCAGTTTGGTGAACTAGAGCTTGATTCTGACAGTCGTGAGCTAATGGCTGGTTTAAGAGGAGCCACAACAAAGTGGATCTTAATCCTCCTGCTGCTCTAGGTTCAAAATGATCAATAAGGCCTCAGAATTAAGACTGAAACTGTATGAGTCATTTTGACCCAAGGGCAGCAGTGGGGTTTAAACAACTCAGTCTAAATAAAACATTCCATAGCACTTCAATAAAACATTTTTAAAGCCTTTACAACACATTCAGTTTTATATGGCACAGTTATTGGGAAACAATATAATATTTTTCTGGATGTATCTGAAGTGCCACAGCTAGGTGCTGCAATTTGTGCTTGCAAACACTCATAAATTTCAGAAAACATACTGTGCATTGGATAATTGAATAGTGGTCTAAAGTTCATAAAATAGTGTTTGCATAACTGTGACTTTTTTGGGATCGGAGCTGTTTTAAGATGGCAGTCGTCCACGCTGGTCTCAGCCCTGCTTGAAGCTGCTGTTGGTTTGACAATTCCATCAGACTAAAACCCCATATATCCAAACTGAGGCCATTCAAAGAGCTATCTACAACAGGTAACATGTTAATTGTTCATTACCTCTCCACAGAATCTCACACTGGGAGGTACGAACTATCTTTTTAATTGACATTTCTTTGGCTGTCAGTATCAATGTGATATTTGGCATTGTCTTTTGTACAGAGGACTTTTATTGGACTAATCTGAGCAAGTTACAGAACAATGACTAGATCAATACTGACTAATGCAGAACAACTCAAAATGCCAACAGCTGGATGAAGAGCAATGTTTAGCACAGGCTTGCCCACTACAATCTGAGAGAGTTTCTTTCAGCTTTGGGAACTTGTATAGTACAAAGAGGATCCCACACATTTATGTCTGAAACATTTGGAACAGAAATCCTCAATTAAAGATGCACAGATACAAAATTCCAAACCTAATGGCCTTCTACATTTCGACTTTCATCCACGGTGATCAAAGATAAAGGGCAAGGTGAAGGGAAACTCAGAGACATTTATAGGGAGAGAGGAAAAAAAGCGAGAAAATGGAGAAGGGAGGTTGAGGGAGGGAGGAGAAATACCCATCTGTGGCGTTTGGGTCAAAGCAGGTCTGCAGGTGTGTGAGACTTTGATTTCCCTCCAGGCTTGCATCTGTGTGAATGTCTATTCTGTGATTCTGATCAGCGGACAGCTTTACGCATAATCAGGGGGGTCAGTCAAATATCACATCGTCGGATGATCAGCGCATTATGCATGCAGGTAAATACACAAACACACATCAGCACACACACATAAATGCACACATTGTACACAATTAAAATCCCAGCTTTCAGCAGATTGCACATATGGGCTTCATTGCTACGTCTGTCACAGATACTGGTGTCTAATTTTCTTTCAGAAACCGACACAGACGCATGGACCTTCCTAATAATTGTCCTCTTAGTGACACTTAGTTTCCACACACTCACTTTTATTAAGTCAGTCTTTATTGTTCCACCAGTGAAACCACTCACTGTACAAAGTAAGTTGCACTCTTGCCAGCATATCAAGTATCAAACAGAGAGGCTCTATGCTTGATATGGTAGAGGTCAAACTTCTTACTGTCTTAGAATTTTGTATCTTACAATGTACAGGCTCAATTATTTGGCTTTAAAGGATCGTCTGTGCTGTAACTTAGATCGGAAAGTTTAAAAGCCTCTTTTGCACCAGTTGAGGCAATTTCCTGAGAACTGAAAGGGATTCCAAGGTCATGGTTTGGTATCTTATTATTCTTTTTTGTAGCTGGGAGCATTGTGGAATGGTTGACTCCACTTATCTCCTCTTTTTCATACAAATTACTCAAACCAAAATGTTTTAAAAGAGACTTCAGTTTTCAGTTCATAACAGAAACTGCAGCGAACCAAGCTGAGCCAACTGTTAAAAAAAAAAACGGTTACTTGGTGTTTTTATCTTTTTACACTGCTAAAAGCTTAAACCAGTAAATCAGATCTTATGATGTGAGATCTTATGGAAAGATTTTGAAGATTGGAATTGTTGTACAATGGCAAAAACTATGAAACTGGTTGGAATTTTTATTAATTTTTTTCATTTACCCTTTATTTATACAGGTAGTCTCATTGAGCCACGAGAACTCATTTTCAAGAGAGACCTGTTTGGGAAGCAGATGGGGGTTAAGGGCCTTGCTCATGGGCCCAGAGTGGGGTGAATGAGGGTGGGGGCAAGTGTGGGTGCTTCACCTACCCTACCCACATTTTTGATGTTGTCGGTACCGGGGCTTGAACCGGCGATCTTCGGATCACAGGACCACCTTCTCTAGCCTCTGCGCCACCACTCCCTCAAAATGATAGAAAAGCTAATATTGGCTAGCTGTCATTTCCAAATTGCATTTTTGCCCTATCAAAACACATCCAAATTCTTATAGATGTTCATGTGAATGCTAATGTATAACCCTATACTGCTGTCATTTTTGCATTACATGGTTAATCCAGCAGAACTATATGAACCGAACTGCTAAAGCTAGCTGCTTCTGCCATTTTTTGCTCTTGCAGAAAAAAAAAGCTATAAAAATACATCTAAACAGTAGTACACAACTGATGTTGCATAGGTTTAGAAAACAGCATTCAGAGGAAATACTATTTATTCATTTATTTTTTGGAATTGTTTTTAGACAAGCAGCAAAATATTTTGATTTTAACAGGCAAGTTGTTAACTCACCTGTCTGATCAGATTTTTATTTTTTAATTATACAATTAAAGGATGTTCAAAGAGCTATATACAACATATAAGATATTAACAATAATAACCCTTTAACATAATCTTATTTGAAAAGATCCTAACTCGCTTATTAAAATTTAGCATGTGCTGGTAATCAGTTTCAGGCTATAGTATGGTTTTAAAAAGTCACGGTTTAAAAACCATTTAGACATTTCCACTGCACCACCAAGGGTTTTCTTGATGCAATTTGCCGCAGACAGTAAATTCAGGTATCTCCGAAGATGTGTAGTGCGGAATAACCCTCCTTTTCCCCACCGGCTGCTGTAAGCTGTCAGTGAGCTCCATTAGATGGCTTAGGGTTAAAACTTTCCCCTCATATTGAAAAAAAATCATTGCTGGCTGTTTGGAAGTTTTCTGGGCACAAAAAAAAAATAAAAAGAAGTTATGACTTGGCTTCTATAGGAAGCAAATCGAAAAATATTTCACAGCTACAAGATGAAGACACCGCCTATTTTTTAGGTTAATGCTTGCTTTTACACACACGTGTAGATAATCCTATCTTTGCTGGAACAGATAGAATTGAATATGTAAGACAACAAGACAAAAGTGAAAAAGATTAAGAACTGCCAAGGTGACTCGATTCTACAGCACCTCAAAAAAGTAAGTGGAAATTCCTGAGCCCCTCCATGGCATTCGCTCCTGACAATAAATTGTCAAGAATCCTGGAGTCTAGCAGCTTAAAAGAGCCAGCACATTTCTGTCAAACAGATGCAACTGCAAGCCCGGGGTATAAATCATTTCCAGCCCTGTAGAAGCATTGTGTTCCTTCCAGAAGAGTTGCAGAGCCATTGAGCTCTGTGGCTTTCTGCTTGAAAGCTTTTGTTATGTTTTGATCTTGTATCCAAATTACTGCTGTTCTGTTACAATGCAAAATCTGACTTTGGATCAGTCCAAGAAAGACATCTTCAGATGGGCGTGTAATTGCAGTAATGGGGCTGTCCAATCCTCATGAGACTGCGATTACCAGGGTAGGACAATGCCAGCAAGACTGATGAAGCTATAATTTGAAACCATCTTATCTGTTTTTTACCCAGAGGTATTTGAGCTGGTGATTCCAAGCTCAGGTCAAATCTCCCAAAAGCTGATTTCTATTTGTAGATTTTACCTTGAGGAACAAGAATTACTTCAGCAAAAGGGGAGTGGTGTGAAAATGAAAACTTCTGCTATAATAAAAAATAAAAAAAATACCTGGATTGACACCAGAGGATAGTCAATGCCACATTATAGTGCACTCCAATTATCAGTCGAAAACATTTTGAACATTCCAGGTACAGAAGGGCAAAATATGCACTGAAAGTATTCTAAACAGTTTTGACAGTAATAACTCAGTTACTGGAAGCAAATGCACATTTATTTATATGTGTAGGCCATGTTGTAAAGATCTAGCAGAGAGTTGTATGAATGGGTAAATGAGGGCACAGATTGTAAAGTGCTTTGAGTGTCTTGATAAGATAGAAAGATGCTATACAAGTACAGTCCATTTACCATTTACTGTATATTTAACATGAGTGGACTGCATGAAATAATTAACCCAAAATATAGATGGTGTTGAGAGGAAATTATCTAAGACCAAACAGTGTTTTACTTGTTTTTTCAAGTTGAAAGATTTATGTATTTTTATTCCTTTCCCCACACGTATATTGTTGTTAATCATGCCCTTACAATCCTCATCTTTCCTTTTCTCATTTAATTTTACAGCGATACATCTATTTGTTTTAGTGTTCATTCGTTGGTAGAAAGGTGTGACATATTGGTCTTATATTTTTTGCTGCAAAGAGGTACCGAAATCTGTTCACGGTCAGCCACAAGCACATGAAGACAGATGAAATACAAGTAGCAAGGAAAGCTTAATGTGTGCCATATTCAGTGTTTTCAGCAATTTGATAGCATTTAAAAAAAATTAAATGACTTCTAGCTACCACACCAAAATCTGAGGTCAGTATCTGTGAAAATGACTGGATTTTGTCACCATCTTGAACTGGATGACTCCAAAAACAATTTAATTGTATATATACTTTTAATGGTTACTTTTGAGAGTTTCAATGACACCAATACAGTAGTTCATGAGATATTTTGCTAATAGACAAATAAAGATGATGTCAACAATTAAAGACAACATTTTAAGCAAACTGTTGTGCATTGTGTAGCATGTTGGGGATACACAAACTTTGAACTAAAAGTGACATATTTGTGTTTGATAAGGATGGCCTTGGTGGCCATCTTGAATAGGAATGAATCCAAAATGAATTTATTTATAGATATATATTCAATGATGTCTTTCTGAAAGTTTAAAAAATCCATTATGTGGTTTACAAGATACTTTATCAGACCTACAAACACATGCACACACCCAATAGAGGTTACATAATTAATTGTGACGTTTGTCCCATTTTTTATGTCACTCAACATCACCCACAAATTTAATGTAACGTTCACATCGGTTCCTTTTCGCTTTTGATACTGATTATAAACAATCTTATTAACATTTCAGTCACTTAACGTAACATTATTTTTAATCAACCAAACAGACAGAACAAAAACCTGCGACGGCCACATATATTGACTTTTTTTCCAGAGTTTCTCTTAGTTGCTATATGTTTAATGTGAAATCACAATGAATGGATCAGCATGAAATCAGAGTAAAGTTTAAAAAGTTTTACTCACGATGATGAGTAAGATGAAGTAGATGAAGTTGTAGAAGGAGTGGGCATCCATCACGTAATACATAATCTCAACCCAGCCCTCTAAGGTAATCACCTAAGAGAAAAAAGACCATTGCTTTTTTTATGTATATCTTTTTGTCACAGTTTATTTTAACATATATTCACTTGCTTGTATCCAACCTGAAAAATGACGATCCAGGCGTAAACAATGTTGTCAAAGTTGATGGCCCCTTTGTGAGGGTTATTGTTTCCAGTGTGGCACCGAGTATAATACTGGTTCCAGTTGATGCACAGACCCAGAGCCTCACCAGCACCACTGCCGTTGGCCAGAGGCTCGGGACTCAGACCCAGAGCTTGTCTGTGCAGAGCATCTTCTTTATCCAGACAACATATTCGTCCTCCTTCACGTCTTGCTGGCACATCAGTACAAGACATGATGCCATTATCTGAGCCGAGGGAGCAGATGAAAGGACGCTCATCATCTTCCTCTGGTCTGTAATACGGAGCCGGCAGGGTCATTCCCGAAGGGCTGGGAAAAGATATGGCCATAATTTAGACAGTTTTAGAGAAAAATACATATATTTAAAATGATAAATGGTGACATCTGAGGGTTTAATGAAGTTTAAAAGCAAAGAGCAAGTAGGAAGAATGGATGGGAGAAAGGCTGACGGTGCTTTCATCTGAGCAACCCCCCTAAAGTATTATAAATAATAAAGAAAGTGAAAATGATCCTGAAAAGTACAGGAACTGGATGTCTCACTTCCATCTCACTTCACACAGACATGCCAGAATATCATTTTATTTATTTATTCGTAAGAAATACATTTTTAGGGCAGTTCATGACATAATGGCTAGATGTTATTTGGGGATTTAACTTTTTCTTTATTGCTTATGTGGACATAATAAAAAATACGGAAGTTTATTATTATTATTGTTATTATTTCATTTTTCAAAGCTATTAATTCATTAGGGTAGGGATGGGGGAGCATGTCCAGGCATGAAAAAACAAATCAAACAACCAAAAAAAATAAATAAATTCACATTGATCCC